AAGGGGGACTTTTTATTTTTTGGTATTAATTTTTCGATATTAGATAATCACATTAGATCTTAATTAATTTAAAATTAAATTGTATTAAATTTTATTAGAAAAAAACTTTAGAAAAAAACTCTTTCAACACTTATTTTTTCATTCACAAAATTTTATTTAAAAAAATCGAATTATTTCTATTCGGAGAATAATATAGGTTAAAACCCCTTTTTGGTCCCTGAACTATTGTACAGACCTCCGATTTGGTCCATGAACTTAAAAAATCCCTGATTTGGTCCCTACTGTTTACCATTTTTACCCTGATTTGGTCCTTTCGTCAAATATCAACCTACGTGTCTCGTTACTTGACGGGAAAACGATGACATGTACAAGCATTTTGACACCTAAGATGTACAGATTGCCAAAAAAAATGAGATGGCAAAAAAAAAATCTTAAAAAATTTCTTATTCCTCTTTTTTTTTTCTTCGTTTGTTTTTCCTTTTTCCCTTTCTTCTTCCTCTCCCTTTCCTTTAACCTTCTATAAACCCTAACTCTTAATATTAAATTCGAGAATAACACAACAAATCAACAGATTAAACTCAATAGATACTTGACCCAATGGCTACTGGGTTTGAAACGAAACCCAGAGCCTCACTTGCAAGAACCCAGCAACTGCTCAAACCTAGCACCCGCTAGGTTTGAAATGAAACCCACCGCCTGCTGGGTTCGAAATCGAACCCAACACCTGCAAAAACATAGCGGCTGGTAGGTTCGAATTGAAAAATCGAACCCAGCACCTGCACAGGAACCCAGCAACTGCATTACCTTGCCTTCCTCATCTTCATCAACCAATTTTTCATCACAATCAAACAACAAAATCCAAAAAACAATTTCATTACAATCAACCAATTTTTTTAATTTTTTGCACCTGGGTTCGCAAGGAACCAAACCCAAGCGTGCTGGGTTCCACTGAACCCAGGCATGCTGGGTTCGGTGTGAGCCCAGGCAAGCGTCCTTGCGAACCTAGCACGCTTGGGTTCCTTGTGAACCCAGGTGTTGGGTTCGCAAGGAATGCGAACCCAAGCAAGCGTCCTTGTGAACCCAGCATGCTTGGGTTCCTTGCGAACCCAGGCATTGGGTTCGCAGTTCGCAAGGAACGCGAACCCAAGCAAGCGTCCTTGCGAACCCAGGCACTGGGTTCGCAAGGAACCCAGCGCCTGGGTGGGTTCGCAAGGAACCCAGGCTTGCTGCGTTTCGAGGGGAAAGAGAAGGGAAAGGGGAAGGAGAAAGAGAAAGGGAAAGGAGGAGAAAGAAAAGAAAAAAAGATAAAAACTTTTTTTAAAGTTTTATTTTTTATAATATTTTTTTATATTATTATTTTTTCCACATCATCATTTTTTTTTACTATATTATTTTCCACGTGGATTACTATATGACTTGTCATCTGGTAACTGTGAAGTAACGGGCCACGTCACACAATTTTTAACGGAAGGACCAAATCTGGGTAAAAATGGTAAACAGTAGGGACCAACTCAGTGATTTTTTTAGTTCAGGGACCAAATCGGGGGTCCGTACAATAGTTCAGGGACCAAAAAAGGGTTTTAACCAATAATATATGCAAGCTTGGTATCGTACGGACAGCTGACCGACGCAACATCTGCCTTAACGGTGCTCGCCTTCTGGACCAACAACGTAAAAATAGAGAAACAGAATCAGAGAAGGAAACGAAACACCGCAGGAATTTCAGAAACTACTTCCGAACCACGCTACCACATTCACCCTCCAATTCCCAAAACGGCTTTTCTCAAATATCGCCACATTCTTCACAAAAATCCCACCTTTATCATCAACCCAGCAGAATACCGCGCCAAAACCTTCATCTTCTTCGACAGAACTCCTCCCCCTCACGGCGGCAGGGGTGCCCTTCGTTCTGACGGTGGCTGCCCCTCCGACCTACTCTTTCTCTCTGGCGGTGGCGTTTTGAATTTGTCCCAAATTTCTTCTTTTTCCCTATACCCGCATATATAGAGTTAAGATATATATATATACACCCGAATATGCTGACGATTAAGAGGATTCCGACGGTTCTTTCCAATTACCAAGAGGATAATTCGGAAAGAGAAGAAGCTGGTTGTGGCCGGAATTGTCTTGGAAAGTGCTGCTTACCTGGTACGTATAAAATATATAAATTTCTCTTATTGGGTTTTTCTTCTTTTTTTTTTAAATTGTGTTTTTATTGATTGATCATTTTGATGGTTCAGTATCAAATTTGTCTCTGTATACATTTAAGAAAAACCAAGAGGGTTCATGTGAAGATGGGGTTATGAATTCATTCAAGGAACAATCTCAGCCTTCGTTCCTTAAGTTGTTGCTGGAACAATGGGAGGATAGAATGAGCAGAGGTCTATTTCGGTATGATGTAACTAGTTGCGAGACAAAGATCATTGAGGGGAAGTACGAGTTTATTGCACAGCTCAATGAGGGACGCCACCTCAAGAAACGGCCTACCGAGTTTCGGGTTGATCAAGTGCTTCAGCCTTTTGATGATACTAAGTTCAATTTCACCAAAGTTGGACAGGAAGAAGTGCTTTTTAGATTTGAGCTGGGGAATGACCGCAACAGCCATTTTTACCCTGATGCAGCAGTTGTTGCTGAGTCATGCCACTCTCCTAATATTATTGCTATCAATGTGAGTATAGATTCTATCTATATTTCTATAAGTTTTCTCTGCAAAGAATAACTAAACACAGTTGTTATCTGATTGTTTTGGACGTGATTTCGGTATATTTATGGATATGTGCAGGTAAGCCCAATTGAGTATGGGCATGTCTTGTTGATACCGCGTGTTCTTGACTGCTTACCTCAGAGTATTGATCATGATAGCTTCTTGCTTGCTACTTATATGGCTAAAGAAGCAGCAGATCCTTACTTTAGAGTCGGTTACAACAGTTTGGGAGCTTTCGCCACCATCAATCACCTCCACTTCCAGGTAATTAACTAGCATCTATTTGTTTGGTTTAGTGTAGTTGTTCCTTGGGAGCTTTGTTTGCTCTCTGATAGATCATTTAAGTATGTTATGAATTAGTTTTAATCAGTTGTTAAATTTATTGAATTGCTTATAGGCATATCATTTGGCAATTCCATTCCCAATTGAGAAGGCTCCGAGTCAAAGAATATTCACGGAGACAGGGTTGCAAGTTAGGGGGATTATTGTCTCCCAGCTGTTGAATTATCCAGTCAGAGGCCTTGTTTTTGAGGGGGGAAATTCAATTCAAGAACTCTCCAATGCTGTTTCTAGTGCTTGCATTTGTCTGCAAAATAACAACGTCCCTTTTAATGTGCTAATTTCTGGACGTGGGAAAAGAATCTTTCTGTTACCTCAGGTAAGCAGTTGATCAAAAATTGATTATTATCCATTTGATTCTTAAACTCATATTTTTTGACTTCATGAAATCCCACATATATATATATATATATGTCAGGACCCTGAAATCATTTCCAACTTCACAGCATTTACAAAGCACTATTTGTTCCTAACCATTTGTTCTGGGATAAAAGAGATGTGGTTCCTTTAATTGGTGGTGCTTTATATGCAAATTTAGATAGAAATTAGTAATAATGGTAATTTATATGCCTCTCAAGACATGAACTGCTAAAATTGCAAAATTGGCAGCCATACAGAACTTTAATCCAATAGGTTGGGGCTATTCCTAGTTCCTACCAACGATATGACAGAATGTCCTGAGTGAGAAAAGGGAAAAGAAACAGAATGCTTTAGAATTCGTCAGTGTACATTTATAATGGCGTTTCTACTTTGATTTGGCAATGAGATAGTAATTTTATTGCTTGTTATGTGACAGTGTTATGCGGAGAAACAAGCGCTTGGAGAAGTAAGTCAGGAGCTGCGGGACACTCAGGTCAATCCTGCAGTATGGGAGATTGGTGGACATATAGTGTTGAAGAGAACGAAGGACTATGAAGATGCATCGGAGGCATATGTGTGGAGACTCCTAGGTGAGGTTTCTTTGTCAGAAGAGAGATTTCAGCGGGTGAAAGCATATATCTTGGAAGCAGCTGGGTTGCAAGAACCTAGTGCAGAGGTTGGTAACATAAATCAAGAGGAAGATTCTCTTCACAGTCAGCCTCCTGCTCGGGCTCACCAACATTTGCCTCAAGATTGCAAAGTTTAGTTAAAAGAAAACACAGTTATGGTGCTCTTTACTTTTATTAGGGAATAGCAATTGAAATTTTTTGGTTAGTGATTGTACTAGGATATCTAGCTAGCAAGCTAGACTCTGTTCTAATAGGATCATTTTGACAATGGTGATCGACACTATCCTTCTAATTTCCAAGTTTTATTGCTTCTTCATAATACAAGGAACCCCTAAAGTTGCCAATTTTGTATGTGCGTTTACAATGGATTGATGATGAGGAAGTAAACCCTCAAGAAAAGTGACAAAGCAAAAATGAAACTTAACCACAATGTGAAATGACCTTGAGCTTAATTCTAATTTCCCTCACTTAAACCTGGTCAAGAGGTTATTTGAAATGCTAATCCAAACAAACCCTTAAGCACTGTATATGTTAAATGACATGGGCCGACTGTCACCGCATGCCATCTCCGAAGTCCGAACCAAAGGGTGACACTTTAGAGAGTTTAGATTAAGCTTTATGCAAGGCGTCGCACCTATAAAGGATAACAGTTATGATACTGATATGACCGGACTAAATGCACCAAATACTTTCTAAGACAAGATCTAGATGAATCTAAAAATGCTCAAAAGGTTTTAGTTATTAATAATAGTTGGTCTTAATAATTATATATTCTTACTAAGGCTGTTTCTTTTCCAAATCAATGCACTCAAATAGTAATGAGTCACAAAAGCCATGTGATATCAAAATTAATAGATGCACATCAATTTATTTTTTGATTCATCCCTGCATTAATTAGCTTGTTTATTTAAAAAAAAAAATCAAAAGTATTTTTAATATTTACTTTTTGGGTGATGATATGGAGGACGAATATACAGGACGATTTTATGAGACCAATAACATGACTTGCTAATTGTTAGAGATGGCAACGGGCCCCGCGAGGCCGGGGACCCCCTCTCCATCCCCATTCCTGCGATTCACGGGGACGGGGATCCCTATGGGGATTTTTGACGAGAGGCAGATTTTGCCCCCTGTCCCCATTCCTTGCCAAATATCAATATCTAATCTATCTTTTACAAAGCAGATGGCTTTCGGTAGCAGTAAAGTAGAAGGGTTCGTGAGTAACAGCCAGCATAGCGAGCAGCAGCAGAGCAGAAGGACTCGTGAGTAGCAGCAGAGCAAAGCAGATTCATGAGCAACAGACCAGAGGCAAAAACTGAGATCTGAGAAGGCGAGAGTGAGAGTGATTACAATGGAGAAATGAATTAGGGTTAGGGTTAGGGTTAAATTTAAGGGAATGAGTTGGGTTGGGTTGGGTTGAATAGTATTGGATAAGTTTAATTTTAATTGGTTTGGATTTGGGTTTAAATTTGAAGAGTAAATTAAATTTAAAACAATTTTTTTTTTTGGTGGGGACGGGGATCCTTGCAGGGTCCCATGGGACGGGGAAAATTCCCGTGAAATTTTGTGGGGAGAAAATGTCCCCATCCCCACCTCGCGGGGAGGAATATTCCTCCTCACCCCGTCCTCATGGTGAGAATCCCCACGGAACCTCGCGGGGACTGGGGGAAATTGCCACCCCTATTGATTATCTATCATGTGGGACTTTCTTTAAGTAATACTTTGTTGAGATGGCTGCCACCTTTGTTTTCGTCCCATTTTATCGTCCCAATTATCATTATTCTTACTTTCTCAATTGTTAGTTACACAATAACAAACTTTTCGCTCCTTTACAGATTTCATATAATATCTCACGTCAATTTGACACTTAGTGGTGCACACTCCATAAACTAAACATATTAAAAAAGTAAAATTACAAACTTATCCTTAAAGCTATCTTTTTCCTCACAATATCCCTTTTCCTTCCTATCTCCCCATCTCTCTCTTCAACAGTTCAACACCAGTTTCTCAACTTTCTTCCCCCTCCCTCTCTTTCTACCTATTAAAACGAACAAGTTCTTTAACACTTGGGGTTCAAATTGAACCCAAATTGAGGTTCAATTACCTGGGTTCATGAATAACCCAGCACCAAATAAGAGGTATAATAGGCCACAAACCAACAAAATAATGAGACTACAAGAAAAATAGATCACCAACAACGAGTTGTTGTTCTGGGCACAAAATCAAAACCTACAAAGTTCAAAATGAAAAACCAACTTTTCAGAATATAAATCAATGTCTCTTGAACATCTAGATAAAATTTTAACTTAATCCAATAATGAACTTTTGCAAATTGGACAAATTTGCAAAGTTGCACATAGTACCAAAAATGCATAAATTTCCCCTATTTTCTTTTCCCTTTTTTGCCGATTGGCACCATTCACATGCACTCCACGTTTTGCTATATCACCCCAAAAACAGACTTGTTTTATGTGTCTATTGTGTTACAAAATGATGGCCTAAATTGAGGATGATTTTCTAAGAAAATGAACTTTTCCTCAAGATTTGGTGTTACTGTGATTTAAGAGACCTACTCAAGATTCTAATTTGGTGCTTGAATGCTTGATTGAGTTTTGTTAGGATTCAAATAATATGTTCTAGGATTCAAATGATTTGTTCTTGTTGTCATTTGGGAAACGGGTTTTGTAAGGAAGAAGATGGCTTTAAGGGTAAATTGATAATTTTACTTTTACAATTTTTTCGATTTATGGAGTGTGTGCCACCAGGTATCAAACCAGCAAGTGCATGAATAATTCCCCTATCTCAAATTGCTAGTTTGATCTAATATTTATTTTTTATGATTTTTATTTTCATCTGCAAGTACCTGTAACTTAAACTCAAACCTATTACTCATATGTTGCAAACTTATTACCGACTGCGTTTACCAGTGCTTTGAACAGACCTTTTTCTCATAACAATTTATTTTAAAATGTAAATTTATAATTACTAATTATTGTTGTATATTTTTACTAATTTTAATTCATTTATTATGTACTATTTATTCCAAAAATAACTATCATTTTTATTTAAA